ATTTCTTGTATATCTTTCTCTTTTGTTAATATCTTAACTATTGTTTCTTAATAGAAAATAGTAGTTTTTCTGTTTTTCTTTTCTGCTCCAAAAATGGTCAAAATGATCGACAGAGAGAGTTGTTTGACAAATCAATATATATAGATATATTATATTGTATAAATTACCTTAGTAGTTATATAAAAATTTTTATCTATTATATTATAAAGTCATTGACTAATATTACTTTTTGAAGAATTTTCTTGTAATGCTATCTTAACAGAGTCTAATATTCAATATAAATTTGATACAACATTACTTAATAAAGCTATCAAATATTAATAATTCGAAAAAGAACTATATTTGGTTCATCTAAGATTTGTTCTACTAGTTTAAGATTAATCATTCATTTATAAGAAGAACTAAAATAAAAATATAAATTATTAATAATTGAATTATAATCTTTTAGATAAGGAATTTTTTCAGCTACATCTTTTGCTGCTAAAACTAATCACGAGCAATACAATAGTGTTCTAAAAGAAAAGGGTTTTCTTTTTTAAAAATAGTAGCAACTCTGTTATTTTTTCCTATTAATAAACTAAATTTATAAATTATTTATTTATATTTATTATTACAAATATAATAATTTAAAATAATTACCAAGTATTGTACTAGCATTATCACTTCTCATATGATACATATTATTAAATTAATTTTTTTTGCAATTAAAAAAAGATTAATATTATTAACAATTAGTTGTACAGCTGCATTATCTAATTGTATAATACCCAAAAAACATACATCTAGATAATTATCTGATAAATGTTTAGAAACAATTACTAATATTTTTTCTTGTTTAATTGTATTACTTTCATCAATTTGAATACTCTAATATAGTGATTTTTGAATTTTATTATTTAAACTTTCTTCAATAACAAATGAAATTGCTTCTAAAAATTCACATACAGAAACATTATTATCATATGAACTATATTCTGAATATATTGTATTTAGAGGATCAACAATTGATTGTACTTTTTTTAAACTAACAAAAGGTCTAAATAAAGCTTTATCTTTTGTCTCATTAAACTGTTGAGTATTTAATTTTTTTAAATCTCTTAATCCATGAGTAGCATAATGATGTTTAGCTAAAAAATATATTTGTTGCATAATTCGAATAATTTCTAATTTATCTTTTAATATTAAAAGTCTAAATCCAGATTCAATTGTTGTTTAATTATGCATAATTGGTATACTTTTTTTATGATCTAGTGTATTTGTATATTTAACTAAAATATCATACTTTAACTATTCATATCCTTGTGTAAATAGGTTCATTTTTTTTGTAGCTTTGCATAAAGTACAAAATATTTTGCCACTATTATCTTTTTCTTCATAATATAACTAATTAAATTCTTCTTTCCATTTTAAATTAAATTTTAAATTTTTTTTAGCAAGTCAATTTTTTTTAATTGTATTATTATTTGTATCTGTGTCAGTATTTGTATTAGTTTTTTTTTTTTTTTTTTCCAACTTGAGCGATCATGCCCGAAATTTATTGAAAAGAAGTATTTTTTAAAAAAATACA